ATAAATACAAAGTAATGTGAGGCAAAGGAAATTCCCTGGAAGATCAGTCTTGATTAGACATAGTATCGAGGTCTAAGTGACACGCCCTCCCCAGCGCACGCAACCAACCCATGATTTTCTTCTCTAATTTAGCATTTTGGATGGGCAAAGCATCAACTCTAGTCCCCAAGTCTGTGACAGTAGTACGTAGCCCTACCATTTCCTACTCTAAGGTTGCCAACCGTGTAACCCGACCAACCCTGGATGGCCCTTCGGCTTTCGCAACATGCTCATGGGAGGGCGACTCAGCCCCTACTTCATCCTGCTCATCATCTCCCTTCTCGGATGCCTCAGAATCATCACTATCAGTTGAACTGGCTGCCACTGTCTCTTTACCAATGGTCATTCTGGAAGTGCGGAACATTGTTTCTTTCGTTACTTTTCCATCTACATTGGGTTCTCTGACACCCCTATAGCCCGACACAATCTAGTGACCAGAGATGGGAAGAAGAACACATACCTCCTCAGTGTTGAACGGATGAACATCTCTGAGTGAATAACCTTGGCCACATCACAATTGTGTCCATTCACGAAGCACCAAATCAAAGCAGCTCGTGGTCCATTGACTTCAGTGGTGTTGTGGGATGGCAGCAATCGACTATTGATGATGTACAACCAACACTTACCTTCAAAGGTGAGTGAGGCGGAGTGTAACTTTGATCCCTGAACAACCCACACTACCTCATTGTCTGGTTTACAGATAGTTTGGAAAAATAATTGCCAATTTGTGGGTTCTCTCTTGTATGTATCATAGTAATCCACGTCCCCAATAAATGCAGGCAAGCGATACACTCTCTTGATAGCTCCAATCAAGGCATTCACTGTGTTTTGTCGCACAATGCAAACATGATCCTCATGTTCAGAACAATTGGTGTAGAATTCCCTAACAAGCAACAAGTTGCCTTCCTCCAGCTCCTCGAAGAAGATGTCGAGCCTGCGCCTAGGCAGTTCCCTATGCATATTGGGGCATTCCGCCTGGAGGGAACTCTTTCAACTCTATATTTTGGTATCGGCTTTCTAATACCCTTTTTACATAAACGGTCTTGGGAAGCTCTGGAGACAAACCGGGTGCTATCAAACTGCCTTGAACTGGCTGATGCCCGTGCCCGGGACGAACTGCCAATAGTGCGTCTCTTCTTTGAAGATCTCATTATACCTATACAACAATCACTATTATCAAGAATCAGCAGAATTGGTGACCCAAGAGCGGTTACTCAGACTTTACGCGCCCCCTGGTCATAATTTATACTAGAAAGTTCATTGGGGCAATTCAACAAGCACCTCATGTGCATATGCCCCCTAATGTACCAAATGACCCAATTAAACCCTCATTCCTCAATCAACAACTTTATTCCAACCCAACCAACCTAATGTCATCACATATCAACAATTATACCAACAAATATACATATATAAGAGTATCTAGATTTCTACTTTCTTACACCTACAATAGAAGAGACAGGAATGAAAAGAAAAGAAAAAAATCGAAAAGAATAAAACAAAAGAAACTAAAAGAAGAGAGTAGAATCATGTACTTACTAGAGAACCTTGTGATGCTCGGATATGGAAGAATGGGTGAGTAGAGAGGAGGGATAAGAGAAGGGGATTTGGTGAAGAAGGGGGAGTTATGCATTAGAAATTGGGGAAGAGAGAGGGTTTTGTTTTGTTTTGTGTTATTATTTATGGGTAAGGGGAGGGGGTAAAAGAAAAGGGGGATTCGTTGGGGTGGGGGTTTTAATTAAAGAAGAAAAGGGGGAAGAAAATAAAAAAAACTAAATTTTTGATACCTGACGTCGCCAGGTCCGCGGCCGGATCCGCGGCCACGGACAGAACGTTTGCAAAATCTACGGTTGATCTGCGATCAGATCCGTGGCCGCAGATTAGGCGTCTAGTTTTTTATTTTTCTTTTTTTTATGTTTATACCTACCTCTGTGATACTTACGTAACCCCGACGGATACTACAAATCAATGGGTTTCCTTCCATGAAGAGTCTGATTTAACGTCGCGGCACGACGCAGATGCGCGTATTTAAAGTACGCTCAACTGTGGAGGCTCGATCAAATGGGTCACTGACACTTCCTTTGCTTCCTTCATGCCCACATAATGTTTCAACCTATGCCCATTGACTTTAAACGTGCTAGAGTCATTACTCACAGCAATTTCTACAGCACCTGTAGGGTGAATTTCAACCACACGGAAAGGCCCTGACCATCGTGACTTCAATTTGCCCAGAAACAACCTCAGACGTGAGTTGTATAGCAATATCGTATCTCCAGGTTTAAAATTCCGCACAATAATATTTCTATCATGTATCATCTTCATTCTCTCCTTGTATAATCTTGTGCTCTCAAAAGCGTGATATCTAAGCTCATCAAGTTTGTGCAACTCCGTCACTCTACTTGTTCATGCAGCTTCACTATCAAGATTCAACTGTCTCAATACCTACCAAGCTCTATGCTCCAACTCTACTGGTAAATGGCATGCCTTCCCAAATACCAACTTGTATGGAGACATGCCAATTGGAGTTTTGAAAGCGGTTCGATATGCCCAAAGTGCATCATCTAACTTCCTTGCCCAATCTGTTCTAGTTGCATTCACAGTTTTAGTCAGCACACTCTTTATTTCTCTATTCGAGACTTCCACTTGCCCGCTTATTTATGGATGATATAGGGTGGCCACCTTGTGGCATACATCATACTTCTCCAACAACTTTATAAAGGATCGATTATGAAAGTGAGTGCCTCCGTCACTGATTATTGCCCTTGTGGTGCCAAATCGGGTGAATATGTTCTTTCTCAAAAAACCAATTACCCCCTTTGCATCATTTGTAGGGAGTGCTTCAGCTTCTACCCATTTGGACATGTACTTCATAGCGACGAGTATGTACTTGTTGCCATATAAGCTGACGAAAGGCCCCATGAAGGTGATCCCCTCTACATCAAACACTTCAACCTCCTGAATTGGGTTCATGGGAATTTCATGTCTGCGAGAAATGTTTCTAGTTCATTGGCATTCGTCACAGCCCTTTATCCATAGATGTGCATCTTTGAACAATGTTAGCCAGTAGAACCCCGACTCCAAGACTTTCGCAGTTGTCCTTACTCCTCCGAAGTGCCCACCATATGGTGATGCATGACAAGCCTACAAAATAGAAGACTGGTCTATCTCGGGGATACATCTCTGAATCATATTATCAACACAAATCCTGAATAGATAAGGCTTGTCCCAATAATACATGTGACAATCATAAAAGAACTTTTTCTTTTGAGCAGACGAAAAGTCGTAAGGAACAATACTGCTCGCCAAGTAATTTGCAATGTCTGCATACCATGGCGCTTCCTCGAGACTCGTGGCTAGTAGTTGTTCATCTGGAAAAGTTTCCAGAATCTCTTCTACCTCAACTTTCTTTTCAGCTCCTTCTAGCCTGGATAAATGGTCAGCTACTTGGTTCTCTGTTCCCTTTCGGTCACAAATCTCCAAATCAAATTCTTGCAGCAGTAGCAGCCATCGAATCAGGTGCGGTTTTGTCTCCTTCTTCTTAATTAAGTACTTGAGAGCGACATGGTCAGTATAAACAATTACTTTTAAGCCTATTAGGTAAGACCTGAACTTGTCAAATGCGAACACCACTGCCAACATCTCCTTCTCAGTCACAATGTAATTTACCTGGGCTCCACTCAACGTTCTACTTGCATAGTATATTGGATGCATGATTTTATCTTTTCGCTGCCCAAGAACTGCTCCCACAGCATAGTCACTAGCATCACATATCAGCTCAAACGGTTGCTTCCAGTTGGGGGCAACTATGATAGGTGATATTACCAATCTCTTTTTTAATTCCTCAAAAGCTACCCTGGAGTCATCATAAAACACAAAAAGGTGATTATTTTCAAGCAATTTACATAAGGGGTTAGCAATTTTGAAATTATTTTTTATAAATCTCCTATAGAAACTAGCGTGCCCAAGAAAACTTTTGATTGCTTTGATGGAGGTGGGTGATGGAAGCTTTTCTATCACATCAACCTTTGCACGATCCACCTCAATACCTTTACTTGACACTAAGTGCCCCAAGACTATACCATCATGTACCATGAAATGGCACTTTTTCCAGTTGAGTACCAGATTAGTCTCGATACACCTCTTCAAAACTTTTCTCAAGTTCACAAGGCAATCATCGAATGAGTTCACCACCACTGAGAAGTCATCCATGAAAACCACTATTATCTCATCTACCATATCTATAAAGATGGCCATCATGCACCTTTGGAATGTGGCGGGTGCGTTGCATAGGCCAAACGCCATTCTCCGAAAAGTATAAATTCCATAAGGGCAGGTGAATGACATTTTTTCTCTATCCTCCAGGGCAATAGAAATCTGATTATACCCCAAGTACCCATCCAGAAAGCAAAAATGAGACCTCCATGTCAATCTATCTTTCATCTGATCAATGAATGGCAGTGGGAAGTGGTCCTTCCAAGTGGCCAAGTTCAACTTCCTGTAATTTATACTGATTCGCCAACCTATGACTGTTCGTGTAGAGATCAACTTGTTCTTTTCATTTTTCACTACCATCATTCCTCCCTTTTTTGGTACATATTGCACTGGGCTAATCCACTTGCTGTTAGAGATGGGGAATATGATTCTCGCATATAACCATTTAATCACTTACTTTTTCACCACTTCTTTCTTGTTGGGGTTCAGCCTTCTTTGATATTCTCTGGAAGGTTTGTGCCCATCTTCCAGTAGAATCTTATGCATACAGAAGGCCGGGATGATCCCCTTAATGTCTGCAATGGTCCACCCAATTACAGTCTTGCATTCAGTTAGTACCTGCAAATGTTATTGTGCTTGCACATCTAACAAACTAGCTGAGATAATAACAGGTAAAGTTGAGTCAGGTCCTAAGAATGCATACCTGAGATGGGATGGAAGTGGCTTCAATTACAACTTTTGTGGCTCTTCTATTGACGACTTAGATAGAGGAGTTTCCTTTCCTCTAAGTGCAAAGCCTCAAATTCAAGCTCCCTTTTCCAAAAACCTTGGCCTTCAAGAGCAAGTACCCACTCTGCCAAGTCTTCACCATTAGCTTCGTCTAAGTTCATAAGACAAGCTGCTAGAGGGTCTTTAATGTTCAAAGCTTCATATTCCTCCTCCGGGACTACATTCACCGCATTTATTAGAGAGCAATTAGAAAATTCATTCGGTCTCCGCATAGATTTCTGAACGTTGAATGTTATCTCTTTATCATTTAATCTCATCTTGAGCTCTCTAGTTTCACAATCAATTAAGACTCTCCCAGTGGCCAAGAATGGTCTTCCCAAAATTATGGGAATTTCCTCGTCAACCCGACAGTCAAGGATGACAAAATCTGCTGGGAATACAAACTTTCCAACCTGCACCAATACATCATCCAAAATCCCAAAGGGCCTCTTCACTGTTCGGTCAGCCAGCTGTAGTAGCATAGACGTGGGTCTAGCTCTTCCAATTCCTAGCCTTTTGTAGATAGCTAGGGGCATAAGGTTTATGCTTGCTCCCAAATCACATAGTGCCTTAGAAAATGCAAAGTTGCCTATTGTGCACGGGATTGTGAAACTCCATGGGTCAGACAACTTCTCAGATATGGGTCTCATCACAACAGTACTGCAGGTCTGAGTCAGTATAACCGTGGCCAAGTCTTGAAAATCGAACTTGCAGGACATCAAGTCCTTCATTATCTTTGCATAGCCAGGCATCTCCTTTAAAGTATCAATCAATGGAATGTTTACCTGAATTTTCTTCAACATCTCCAAGAAATTCTTGTACCGCTCATCTTTCTAATACTTGGCCAATCTCTGTGGGAATGGTGCTGGAGGTCGCTTCTTCCTTGTGATTTGGTTTATTCTTGTTCAGGCACTACTTCTACTGTCGGTTCCGATGCAGCCTAAGTCTCTTTCACAAACTCTTCTTCTTTGTTGGTGTTCTCTTGTGCATTCTGCACCGTCATCTCAGTTAACTCTGCTGAATCATCTATCTCAATGGGTACTGGCACCAGTGTCTTAGTCGGTCTGCTTTCGCAAGTAATTTCTTGCTCCAGATCTAAGTCTCTACCATTTCGGAGACTCACTGCCATCAGCTGCTTCGGGACCTGCTCTTTTGTATTGATTTGGGTGTCTGCAAGTAATGTCCCATGAGGACAATTATTTAGGGCCATGGAAATCTGTCCTGATTGGATCTCAATATTCTTTATTGCTGACTCATGTGAGTCTACTCTGTCAGCTAATTTTCTAGGGGACCCAATCACTTGTTGCATCATTCCCTCAAGTTTAGCAAACCCATCTTCCTGACTCACAATCTGTTGTTGTGGAGGTTGTTGATAAGCCTTCTTCTGATTTAGCTGGTTGTACCCTTGTTGCCTTTGGTAAGGCACCATTTTTCTCTGTGGTCACATAGCCCCATGGCTATTGTTGTTATTGTACTGCTGCTGAGCTGGTCTATATTGTTGATTCTGCTGACCCAAATTCTAACCACTTGGTCTCAGTCCCCCGTAGTTGGCCACATAATTCATGTTCTCCTGATATTGTTGATTATCACCTTCAGCACTCCATGAGCAGACAAATGGTTGATTAATGCATGATGTACATAGACCCCAATTAGTTGCATCAACTATGTGTGCATGCTGCTTCTGGCCTGATTCTTCAACCTTTTTGGTAAGGATGCTCATTTGTGTCAGTAGAGTGTCCATATTTTCAGCTAAGGAATTAGCCAGGTTTAGACCCACAGAGTGAACCACAGGAGTGATTGGTGTGTTTCTTGTTATCCATCCTAAGTTTTGTGTCATCTTGTCAAGTAGGATCTTGCTCTCTCTGAATAATTTGCTAAAAAATGCTCCACCTACTGAAGCATCAACATTGGCTTTCAAACTATCTGGCAAACTCATGTAAAATCTCTGCCCCAACTTTTGCTCCGGAATACCATGATGTGGACACATAACTAGCAGACCCTTGAATCTCTCCCACGTTTCGTGTAGCGTCTCAGTTGGTTTCTATCTGAAGATCAATATCTCATCAATTTGCTGAGCAGTCTTGTTGGGTGGATGAAATTTTCTCAAATATTGCTTGACTAATTCCTCCCAAGTAGTGATGGAGTTGATGGGGAGTGAATTAAGCCAAGTCTGAGCTGCTCATATCACTGAGAATGGATACAACGACAAATGTATTGCTTCCGGTGTCATGTTGTGCTGCCTCTGTATGGCACAGATTGACAGAAAAATCTTTAGATGCTGCTGAGGATCTTCAACATATGACCCAGAGAATAGTCCCTTATTTTGCAATAGATATAGCATGTTATTTGTGATCTGGAATGAATCTTCTTGTATCTGATGGACTACAATGGTAGTTTCTAAGTTGTCAGCGGTGGGTTATGCCCAATCATATAGTGCTGCTTCTTGCACAAGAGGTTCCACACCCTGATCATTTGGGTCATTCACGTTGTTTCTGTTGTTTAGATTATCATCTTCCATGTCTGGCTCAATGTTTTCGGATGAGTTCTATTGTTGTTTGCCTTTTCTATTTGCACGATTCAATGCCTTGAAAACTTTCTCAGTATCTGATAATGCTTCGAGCAATTCACCAGTTCTTGAGGAATTTCTAGGCATGCACCTGTAACAACCACGACTACAAATGTTAGAATTTCAATGGTCAATTTAAATTGAAGAAAATTGACTACACTAAGAATTTTTGCACTTCTTTTTAACTGCAATCAATAACACCATTAATTCCCTGGCAACGGCGCCAAAATTTGATAACGCCCAAATATACCTTATAAGAAGAACAAAGTGGTCGCTACAAATATATTTCGTTTAACAAGTCCGGAGTCGAATCCTACAGGGAATTAACCTATCAATCGCAGCTATTGAACTCACAGAAATTCATGTATTCAATCTTCAGAGATATTTGAGTAATAAATTGGGTGTTTATTAACTAAATATTATGTAATAAAATTTCAATAATTAAGAACTAGCTATAAACGGTTTGTAAGCAAGAATGAGAATGGTCTAAGGTTCTAATTTCCCCTCTTGTCGGAATCCTTTCCGCTGTGTTTGCTATAATTTGCCTAAGTTTTCTCTATTGATAATGAGTACTCTGACTATCGTAACTCTCTCCCGAGTAATTACAACAATATACTAGACATATTTTCCCAAATTATGCTAGTTGGCCTTAGTTACAGCTCACTTAGATTGCACCCAATATTTCGTTATCCCTAATCTCACCTTTAAACCCTTCGTATTGATCCCTCGTATACATGAGGAGTGGTGTTATTCAACAACTACCTAAATATGCACACTCTCCCGAGTAATGCATACTAAATAGGCACAGTCGATTGAGGTCCCTTCAATCAATAGCAATCACAATATAGTTGAACAAACAGAGAAAATATTAGGGCAAATCTATATTAACATAACGCGAAATTCATCCTCCAAGAGGTTCCATCAAAACCCTAGATTAGGAGTTTAGCTACGCATAATTGTTTTCACAATCATAACAATATAGTTCATCTTCAATGATAAAAACAAGAAGAAGAAAAGTAAAAACTCTATGCCGAATCTTCCGCCTTGCTTTTTGCCTGTTCTTGCCTTCAAAATCACTTCAAAAACCTCGATATCCTCTTTTTTGGGTGAGTTGGGCTTCTTATAGGTCAAGGAGAGTCATCCTGGAAATTACACAATTGACTTTGCATTATTTGGCTCCGAACACCCCGTCCGCCACCACGGATAGACCCCGGATTTGGCACAACTTCTGTCCGCGGCCGCGAACTTGGGCGCGGATTTGGTCCTTGCTCTTTTTTCTCCTTTTCGATCGTGTTATCCTCCGATTGGCCTTCCATGCTCCATATTCACTCCAAAACACTCTTTTAGCTTCCTCCTAGCTCGGAATGGCTCCTGCAATGCATAAAATTCTTAATTAGAACATTTTGTTATCTTTTACATCAAACATTGATAAAATACGGTCAAATTAGAGTGTAAATATTAGCTTCCTTGCATGATTATCATCTATTATCAATATCCTTAACAAAAATTAAAAAAAGTGAAATAAATGAAGAAGTATCTCACGTCTAGTCCAGAAATGCAGCTAGATTTTGGATAGAGCTCACACATTTCCACTTTTGTCAAATTTATAATTTTGAAGACTGACGTTCGCTTTTAAAAGGAGTAGTTTCGATTTTTTATTTTTTAATAACTAGTCAGAGTACTTACCCTTGGACTTGGGACATTTGAAATGGTTTATATTAATATTATTGAAAGGCCAATCATATGCAAAATTTATAGTATTATTTTCTATCAATGGGTGCCTTTAGAAATTCGTGGACCTACGATATTTCAAAAATGGTTTTGGTACCAAATTTTCCTAGAATACACATAAAGGAACAGAAATCATAGACATTGACAGTGTACTTTTCTAGATTGACCAAATACCATATTTAAGTTTAAGGTATGTAGAACAAAAAACTTAACAATATCAATGTAATTTAATTGATTATAATAAGTGTATAGGTCGATCTGAACAGAAGAACCTTACTCAAGGGAGGGCGACCAAGAGCCAACTGAGCCGAGGTCACGTATGGGAAGCAATACACTAACGAGTGATTCAGCTATGGTCGAGGTTGAGCACTCCATTCGGCCTGAACGACTAGTTCAATCCTTAGACATCTTTAAAGAAATATTCCACATGATATTCCAAGAACTTAGGTATTGCGGTTAAGGATAGTTGGGTAAAGAAAGTATTTTTGTATAAATATCACAGGGGAGAGTAACTGAAAGGGGGACGGACGAAAAAACTCACACAGAGATATAGACACAATTTAAAGATGAAGAGGGATCTTCATCTCAAGCCCCTCGCTAAGAAGAAAGGAGAAAAGAAGCTTTGATCCTCAATATTCATCAATAATTGAATTATATCAAATGTATGGAGGTCAGCCTTGTTCAAGAACGGTGACCCTTTTACATTTGTATTCATCACTATTATTTAATATTATTGAAATCGTCATGCTTTTTTTACATTATGGGATTCAACCATTATTATAATCGAATTTTATGTTCAGTTACGCTTGTGTATTTTTGTCTTCTATCTCAGATCTAGGATAAATTATCTTTAGCTAGGATTTGCCTCAAATCTTCTTATTTAATTAGTCTAATAAAAAGTTTAACATTTTTTAGTCAAACAATTTGGCGCCGTCTGTGGGATTTTCTAGCCAAAATTTTAGTTTCCTCTAGATCTAAAGTCAGCCAGACTTCCACTTCTCTGTTGTCATAGCCTCACCCTCTCATTACAAACACCAACTCGATAAATTTGTATGCAAGCTCTTGAAATAGCCAAACCAACCGAGGTCAGATCTTTGCACAAAATCGAAATTATATTTTGATATCATGAAAGCCACGTCTTGATGAAGGGGTGAGTCTGGTATGTCGAGACCGTGAGTTGTCAAAATAGGATTATAGCCACTACGCACTAAGTACGTCCACCAACTTATTGCTATATTAACGTCAGATACCAATCTATAGTTTATGCACATTGTCCTCTCTCTCTTAGGAAGGAATGATCTCCTATTGTGTAATTCTTTGAAATACCAAGCTTACCCTGCCAGCGTGTTGGCGGTATGACTTATATTCCTCTTATTTTTGTGCACCTGGGACTGGATGGGACCGGGACTTGAACCCGAGATCCCAACGGGCGAAATAAGTCATCAGTCCACAAGATGCCCAGATTCGACTAACGGCGAAGCTAAGCATGTGACCGGGATCCAATCT